ACTGCTTGGAGGGAGAGTCCCCCTCCCTACGACCACGTGTCGGGTGGAAAAATGGCCGCGGACCACGTGTCGGGCGGAAAATGGCCGCGGACCACGTGTCGGGCGGAAAAATGGCTGCGGACTGTGTCACGGGAGGGAAAATGGCCGCGTATCCTGTTTGTACCCCGAGGCGGAGTTCGCAAACCGAGGTAAATTTTTGTGGCTGGAGCTGGTCGGATCCCGAAAAGTTCATTAACAGAGGCATTCGTAACCCAAGGTACCACTGTAGATATATACTTCTGAAACACTGTGAACTTTCTTTATAAATTCTTTGAATATTGTCATATTGGTAAATATAGCCATCTTCTAAATTCCGGAGTTAGCTTGAGTTCTCAGATGGATCATATATCCATCTTCTGAGTTTGTATTCTTTATATCAGGCAGTAATGTTTCCACATAAGAGGTGTGCACGAAGTCCAAAAAAATTTGGATACAAATAAATGCATTTATTCAGAAGATTTTAAAGACTAATGTACAATTAAAACCAGAGAGTTTCCTTTTGGGATTAATGGACAGACAGCTAGAAAAAAAACATGGAACTTTGTTTTTATATATGACAACTGCAGCAAGATTACTATATACTCAAAAGTGGAAACGTTTGACACTATCCACAATAGAGGAATGGTTCCTGAAGATGATGGAACTTGCAGGGATGGCTAAATTGACTTCTTTGATTAGAGAAAAAACAATATTTACATTTGTGGCTGACTGAAAACCCCTTACAGACATTTTGTATGAAACAGAAAAAAATGCACTTATGATTTGTAGTTTTGATGATTAGGGGAAAAAAATGGATAATAGGAAAAAGGCGAGGTCTTTTTTTTTTTTTTTGTAATCATAGAGTAAGAGGTAACTTTGTAATCATACTTATATTTGCTGCAAAGGAAATCATAAGCTTCTATTTCTTTTTATATTTCTTTCACTTTTGTCTTTTCTTTCTTTTCTTTCTTTGTTTTCTTTATTCTGTATTAGTTTGTGTTAGTTTTTATGTTTTCTTTAAAACTTTTAATAGTGTGTGTGTGTGTGTGTATACACACACGCGCGCATGAAGTATCTGGATACATTTGGTTCTCATTAACATTTGGGTAAGGTGGGGGGTTCCTAATGGTTAAGAAGTAGCTCAGGAAGTGGACTGTTCTTTGCTGGAGGTGTGAAAAGAGTAGTTAGGAGTCTTGGAAAGTACTTTAATATAGTTAAGGTATTCCAGTACCAATTCCTGCCCTTTGGAATAGTCTCCCCCCAGCGGTGCAGTGGGCCCCTTTCCTCCCAGTCTTCCAGAAAGGATTTAAGACCTGGGTCTGTCAGCTTGCATTGGATGACAAGAGCTGTAATCAATCCTGGGGGTGGCTGGCGCCCTTATGACACTCCCTGAGCTGATCGCCAATTTTATCATTCCTTGGAGTTTATTTATTACTTATTTAAGATTGTTTTATATTGTATTTTAATTGATTTTACCTCTTCCGTAAACCACCCGGAGTTGCTTTTTAATGAGATGGGCGGTGACAAATTTGATATATAGATAAATAAAAAATAGTAGAGAATACTAGACAACACATGACCCATTGGGTCATCTTTTCAGAGATATTTCCTTACCTAAACAGAAACAGAATAACCAAGGGCAAAAAAGCAGTGGGAGTGACTTGCAACTTTCTGCTGGTTTCCCCATTGACTTTGCTTATGGAAACTGGCAGGGAGCATCAGAAATCTTCCTTCCTTCCTTCCTTCCTTCCTTCCTTCCTTCCTTCCTTCCTTCCTTCCTTCCTTCCTT